CCAGACTCAGTGATCACAAAATTATTAGTTTTAGGTATAAATAATGATCTATTGATTATTCCTTGCTGACTTAAAGTTTACCCCCAAGGACCCAGTCCAGGTAGAGCGGGTCTTTGGAGTACGCAGTTGCTGAAATCCCCGTTTTGTCTGATTACAGGTCACTGGATTGGGCGGCTATCAATGGGTGGAGGTCAATCCACAAAAAGGGGTGTTTAGTTTAAACTGTAAATTAGTGGTCAAAGCTAAACAGGAAAAATGATCTAGAAATAAGTAAAAATGTCTTGAATGAAGTGTATTTATAATTTATCCTCAATTTGAGAAGGTAAATTAGATAGTTTGCCAATGGAATAAGTATTTTTACTCTTAAAATAAGAAAATTAGATAACATACACTTGAAATAAGACAATGCAGTTGTGTTTTCTTATTTTAAGTGTAAATTGTGTTGTTGTATTGGCAAAATGTATTTTACCTCCTCAATCCAAAAACATTTTTACTTATTTCAAGAAAAAAATTACTTGTCTAGATTTCACTTTTTTGCAGTGTATAGTGTGCCGTTTAAATGTAATTAGGTTTAGTTTAAGTCTAGGTCCTTTAATACGTCCCAGTAGAGTTCTGGTTGCACTGCATCGTAGCTGCTGTATGTCCAAGACCAAATATCAGCACTAATCATCAGTTTCTGGACACTTCCTTCATCTAGTGATGTAACACAAAGTTATTCTGCTATGATCATGTTTGGCATCGCTGGATTAAGCACCACCCCATCTTTCCACCAAGCTATCATGTCTGTCTATGGCAGCCGCTGGCCAAGCTGCTCCACAGTAAATTAGAACTTTTTAAAAGGATCCTAAGATCCAGTGTTCTGTCAGATTATCACACCCATAGTCAAAACCCATTTATCCCTCAAGTCATGAACAAAAAATATTATACTTACTCAGAGGATTCCAGAATCCATCCAGGCTGATTTGGAGGAATTCTTTTTAAATGCTACTTTCACACGATACGCGATTTGAGCAGCAAAAAAGATTCTGCTGCTTCATTTCTGATATTTGTTCACATTAAGGTCAGATGGAGGTAAGTGAGACACTTTGCCAATGGAACAAGACAGTTTACATTTAAAATAACAAAAAACAATTTTAATGCCTTAATTCAAGTGCATATTATGCAATTATCCTATTTTAAGAGTAAAAATACTCACATTATCTTATTTACCTGCTGAAATCAAGGTTAAATACACTTATGACATTTTTATTTATTTCTACGTCATTTCTGCAGTGCAATGTGGCATCAGCTTCCAGCTTTATTTGAGCCCAAACAACATTCCAATTAAAAAGACCAGCTAATCAGATGAAATGAGTGATTTATTTTGATCTGCTCTTCACTCCAGAGGGAAACATGAGTTTATCCTCAGGAACAAATGAAGATCAGATGTCCATTTTTATTATATCCACTTGAAAAAAAAATCATAGAAACATATTTTGAAGTTATTGATAAAATATAATAACACATTTCTGAAAAAAAGCTTGAAGACGGATGAGAAGGAGACCCGGTAGAATCCATTAGCAGGATGTTTAACGGCACCGTTGGACCTTTGGGACCATCTGTGGATTATGTGCAGAACAGCAAACATTTAAACGTTGCTTTACCCTAAAAATTGTACCCCTTAGTGATAAAGTCAATTAAGATGTCTTTAAAGTCTAATTTCTTGGCATGCTGATGCTCTATAGACAGCATTGCCAGATCATTGAACCTTTCTGGGACATCCTAGAGCTCAGGTAGTTTATTATCATCTTCATTTTACTGAAGGCCTGCTCTCGTCCAGCCAGTCGCAGGTAGAGATGGGAAAATACATCACAGGTTCTTTCATTTCCAATAACAATGTTTCTGTGCACAGTTTCTTTCATGACCTGGAAATCTTTCATAAAGCTCCTTGGTTTATTTTTAATATTTACTCCTAAAGTCCCTCAAGCCTTTAGTGTCATCTTCCCTTTTTCATTTTTTTTTCCTGTGCGCCAGACTTCTGAAAACCTGACATTCATCATGAAATGAACAGTTTAGAGCAGTAATGACTTTATGGGAACTTTTATAAATAAGATTCATTTTAATCAAAATAAGATCTACGACGTTTAGGGAGAGAAATAGATTCAGTATATCTATGCGTTAGGATTAGAAGTTAAATAGTAGCTTATAACATTTTTATTAGCTCTTTGGTTTTAAGATTTGTTAGTTTTGCAGCAGAGTTGTTAGTTATTTATATGGCTGTCAGCAGTAGGAGATAAACAGGTTGGACACTTTTGGGCATCCCAGGTTCTGTGGGTTGATCCTGGTGGTTCTTAATAAGTGATGAAGTATCAAGGAGCAACAGGAACCTGGACTGAATCCAGTCTCTGCCACAGGTGTAGATATGACACTGTTGGAGCATTGGAGAGCCCCGCTGGCATGCATGCTTACAAGATTATCGATTGTCACCCTTCAATACAATAGTTGAAGCTTAGCTTAATAGGCCAGTTTCAATTAGCAGGTTTATCAAACTCAGACCTAAACTCTGGCTTAATCTAGCCTAAGGTCGGAAACTCTGAGTTCTCAGTTTAACAAAAGCTGCAGTGAGTTTAATCAACTCTTTTTAGGTCCAATCAGAGTTGAACACGTGCGCAATAAGTATGACAACAGACAACAGGAAGTGCCTATTTCACCCTACTGGAGCTAGAGATATTAATACAGAATTACATAAAATATTGGAAAGTGTGTTTAAAAGAAACAGCAGGAGAGGGAGATGGTGAAGGAGAAGATTGTTGCTCGAGTTAATGCTTAAGTTAAATGTAGTTCCTATGGAAGGCTGTTTTAACATTTATTATACACTAAAATACGATTCATCCTGGTTGAAATCACATTCCTAGTTAGAACTGTAATAACAGATTTTCTAAATTATTTTCTGGGCAAAAACTAAATTTTCAAAAGTAAAAAAAAAAATATTTGTATAAGTAAGAATTAAGGTTTATACGGTATACCTAGAAATGTTTATACATTTTTAGTGGCTGTTTTGACTTTTACTAGATTGACAAATGATTGACTAATTACATATTTATGATGTCTGATATTTGTTTCTAGAGACCCGGAATGTTTATTCTAGATGTGAAAAATGACGTTTAGTTTAAAAAGCTCATTTTATTTACAAGGAAAAAAAATGTATTTCAGATATCAGAAATACACTGCTCAAAAAAATTAAAGGAACA